AGGGTTCAGGTAGTGGGGCGCCTCCCTGCCCCCTGTCCAGTTCTGGCTGTGAGATGATGGCCTCTTACCTAGGTTACTAGATTATCTTGCAAGGTGACAGAGATGAGAGTTGGAATGATCCCCATAAGCTGTGGGGCTTTCCATAGGCTGTGGATTCTCCATAGGCAGGTAGCAGTGAGTTTCCAGGTGGCTATCTTGAAACCACACCAAAACTGTGGGATGACAAGAGCCTGGCTTGCATGAGGAGAAACAGCAAGATACATTTTCCTACTTCAGTGGAAACGATCCTCTATCCTGCTGCCTATCACCTCCTCTAGATACCTGTGTAGGACAGAGCTGGTTGTTGCTACAGCAAAGGCTTCAGTATCTCACGTGGTGGATGTGGGCAAAGGAGCTGTCCAGAAAGGTGGGGAGATGAGGAGATCTCCAGTGACCAGGGCTCTTCTGTGGGCCAGAAGGTTGTGAGCATCCTGGACACAGTACTGAGGAAGTCAGAACAGTGGGTAGACAACTACCTGTGTGTGACGGATGAAGAACTGATTAAGGAGTCTGGGCAGAGCTCTCCCTGGTGCCTTTGTAACCTGGGTATGATCACAAAACCTACCCAACCAGCCTTGGAAAAAAGGATTCTCTAGCCCCTGGTTCAATTAAATTTTGAATCTCTTCTTCCCCCACCCCTCATTTTAAACTTCTACCTGGGAATACCTGGCAACAGACTACCTCTAATAGACTATCTTTCCAGCAGGCTGTATAGATAGCCAAGTACAGCCTAGTTAAAGGCTTTTATAGGTAGGAAGTTCCAGGAAGACATAAGAAGCAAATTCCTGCCCCTGCCCTGCCACATTTAGTTTTTTTTTTTTTTACAGTTTTTTTATTCTCTCTCATTGGACCAAGTGTATAGTCTGCAATGTTTTAAAACAGCTTTCAGGTACACAATGCGCTTCCTTAAATTTGGGAAACAAGTAGGTACAGCCAAAACTAAATACTAAACCAACCAATAACTTGTGTCCAGCCCCAAAGTAAAAGAAAACAGCTACTCTAAAGGAGTAGAGGAGGGCTGTAAAGGAGGAGCAACGAGATGTAAGTTGAATAAATCTTATCGTGCAAAAGAACAAGACCTTAGATGGGGAAACTTACCTGTAGAGGACAGAAAGGGTTAGAAGACTTGCTAGTTAGAGAGCTGTTTCAGGATGCATAACTTGGTTTAATACATTGAATTTAACCTCCACTAAAGCTACCCCCCCCATGTGTCTTCTGACATCATTTTTATAGATTTCCTATGAGTATAGGGACTGTGAGGTCAGATATAGTGACTGTTCTGTGATTCCCTACAGGTGGTTGGGTGTACCTATCTCTACCCTGTCTGTGTAAGGGCTCATTCTGGAGCATAGTGGTTTAGCTTCACCCCTATCATTCCCCTTTCCACAAGACAGTTCAGTGCCTTGGATGTGGTATACTGCACTGTGACAGATGTGTGTAGGATCCCTGGATCCCGATGGTTTTCTTTTGAGGTAGACATCCTCCCTGCCCAATACAAACAACACATGTGGGAACAAGCACAGGAAGGTAAATATTAGGCTCTACTTCTTCCAGTGCAACCTGCCCTTGCTGTAATGATCATGTGCTGTCCCTGTGGTGAACACAGTCTGGAGGTACTTCTGCAGCCCTTCCACTGGCTCGCTCTCCCTGTCCCTATGAGTTCTCTCCTCCGGGGGCCTTGCCCATCCTTTGTGTCTATACTAGGGCAGGAGGCCTGAGTCTGCAGGTCCTGGCTGCTCTCCACTGGCAGAGCTGGTCTCTCCTGCTCTTTTCCAACTGCACTTGCAGCCTCTGTGGAGGGGGCAGAGGTGGTTCAAGTGGAACAGCAGAAGCAGTTGCAGAGCTATTGTGTGCCTGGTTTCCCTGCTGACCACCCTGCAGCAGCAAACCTAGCAGCACTCCCTAGGCAAGATGAGGCCTATCAAGCAGAGCACCCTGGAGGCCCGGGCAGGGCCTCACTTCCTGGAGCACCCGTGCTTCCAGGAACTCAGGGCACTGCAGCTCACATAGGGGCTGGCCAGCTGGGCGATGGATGAGTTTCAGAAGATGCCAGGAATTCCTAAATAGTATGTACAGTCCATTCCCAGTGGAGCTTATGGTTACAAGCATACAGCAGTGGCATCACATAAGGTTGCCCAGTGATTTTATGAGCTCTTCACTCCAGTCAAATACACACAGGTGAGGAGCAGATGACAGCTTCTATGACCTGAAGGGAGGGAGAAAGTAAAAAGGTCTGGAGTCTGCAGTGAGTTGGGGAAGGCCAAGTCAGAAAATAAAGACAAGTGATAACAACCAAGCTCCTGAACATAGCTCTGCCAGTTCTGCCATGCAAACAAGAGCACAGCCTCTTGAGTAGCATTGTTTTCATATTCGAAGGGAGGCCCCAGTTCCCAAGAGCTGCACCTTGGACCACAAAGGCCAAATGAAGGTTACATGTATAACCCTAGCCATGATGCTACCTGCAGCCACGTCCAGATTCAGGGTCCTGGGGTGTCAAATAGCCTCCGTCAACCTCCCAACCCCTAAGGCTGAGGCCACCTCTCCATGCAGTGCTTCCTTGTGGTTTCGCCACACACTGGAGTACATACAGTCTAACTATTTACACACTTGATTATTAACAAAACAGTCAACATATGAATGAGGTTAATAGTAGAACAGGATATCAATAATTTAAGGCAGGTATCAATGAACTAAAACACTGTGCAAATTGAATCAAAGACACCCTCAGTACAACTCCCCAGCTTAAACTGTGAGACTCCAGTGAATTTCGGAAGGAGCACACAGGGTTAATTTAAACATCAGCTCTCCTTGGCACAGACAGCACGCTCTCTGCTACAGCCTGCAAGGGGAAGAGCAGCTCTCCTCTGCTCCAGCTGTCTGTGGTGACACACACAGTCCCCTTTCCCCAAAATCACCTTTCTCCAAGTGCCAGACACGGCCCCTTGTGCTGATAACTGGAACAACCCTGGGTTTATCACCCACCTGGCTCCAGGCTGGTTCTCAGCTAACTCTCCCCAGAGCCTTCCCAGACCAAAGCCCTGCCCTCCTAGGCAAGTCTACCTTATCACACTTTTCCCTCCACACCGGTCCCTCTGCTGCACAGGGGGAAACAGGATACCAGGTTACCTTCTCCCCATCACTAAGGGCAGGTTCACTTCACAGGCAGGCTGCAGGGTGGTTCCTCTCCAAGCTCTGTGGTCCTGGGGCTCTTCTCTGAGCCTGGCTGAGTCCCCGGGGCTGAGTTCTCTTCCCTCTCCTGCCTCAGGAGACAATCAACACATGCATATGCTCTTGCAAACAACAACTTTCTGTAAACATTCCCACTCTGCCTTTGCAGGGATCCTGAGCCCTGCTGCAAACCCAGCAGCAGATGTTATACAAGTAAGCTGAGCGAGTTGTTGAGTTCTTGGTTTCAGAACACCATGGTCATCAGAGTGGGGGAGGTAAGGGCTGCTGTTCTCCAGAGAAACTATGGGCTGAGAAAGGAGGACAGGGCATGGTGGGAGATGTAGGAAGGCTTGGAACGGGGCTCTGCAGAGGCCCCTGCTTTGTGCAACGGAGAGGGGTGGAACTGCATCACCAATATCCCTTGCACATACTGGATTCCGAAAGGACTGCAGACCATCACTGCTCTTGTTCCAGAGGTCCTGCAAGTGCATGTGGGGGAGACAGAAGCCAACAGGGGTGGGTGTCTGCAATACAGCTGAGCAGGCAAGGACTGGCTGTTACACTTGAGACCTCTTCCACCCACAGCGACAGCCTCCCCAGCTGCTTCCTTTCGCTAGCTTTCTGCTCCTCTGCACTTGCACCCATGACCTCTAGCAGGTGGTGCCCACACAGAGCCAACTGCATAAGTCCTGGCTGGGAACAGAGAGACCACAAGGCCAGAGCCGCTCACTTCAACACATCGCGCTCTGCTGAACGGGCTTGAATGCTGCCCTAAGGATGGCCAATTGAGTAGTCTGGGTGCTCCCCTGCCAAGAGAGGACACTCCCCACCCCTCCTCCCAGTGCTCAGAGCAGGTCATCCAGGCCCCTCTCTCCTTCACAAGGGGTCACACATAGGGCCACCTCAGCTCCCCCAGGTGGGAAGAGACCAGGCTCCCTGTGCTCTCCAGTCAACACATCCAGGTGCTGTTTCCACAGGGCTGGGATCCTGAGCAATCTTCCCCTAGCAGCACAATCCCCAGGGGCTGCCCACACAAGCACCCAGCCCAGCTCTGGCCATACCACAGCTCTGCATGAAAAGCATCTTCTGCTGCATCCAGTCCCTGGGGGAAGCACCTTCTAGGCTGCTCACAGGGAACAGGGCTGCTCACAAGGAACACCTGGGGCTGTCCAGCAGCAAGGCCAGGGCATGTCCCTTACCCCACCCACATCCCAACCCCACTGGCCAGGGCAGAAAGCTCCCGTGGTTGATTGGTCTGCAGAGCTGTCTGTCATCCCTTCACACCCTAGGCAGACATCATCACAGGTACATAAGGTCCCAGCTGGGGCTAGTGCTTGTGCTGCTGTGTGGAGAGCAAGTGAAGTAAGAGCTTGGTTGGGGGATGTTTGTGGGGTGGGCTCTTATGTTCTGGCTGGTGGCTTTGGTGGTTGTGTCCTTAGTCTGGTTGTGTACCTTGTGCTGCCTTGCTATGAGCTGTGTTGGTATTTATGCTCTAAAAAGTCCCTGTTGTTAGTGCCTAGTGCAGGAGTGATTCTTCTAGGAAAGGCCTGTCCTGCTTCTCTCCCAAGTAGGGAGCACTTGCTGGTCTGGGTGATGGGTTTCCTCAGTGGAAGGAGGTTCTCCAGTGTCCCTCTCTCCTCACTTTAACATGAGCTTAACCCATTCCAGGGTACAAAACTACCACTTTGATTGTAGCTTCTGCCTCCTCCACGTGCAAGCAAAGGACATGCAAGTTTCCATCTCAAAACTTCCTTTACCTGACCAGAGAGGCTGCTCTAGGATCCCTGCTCCCTATGTGGGCAGCAGAAGCAAATGATGTTAATTAAGCTCCAACTGCCCCACCCCGGGGTCTTGACTCTCTCCACATGAGTGCCCTCTGGAAAGGTGCCCAAACTTTCTGAGTGCCAAAATGGGATGACCTTAAGTGGTGGGGGGTGAAGGGGATGCCTAAAACATCCACCTTACCTATATGCCCATTGGGATGGGAAGAGTGTGTGGGTGGGTGGGTGGCATAGGGAAAGCAGGGTGCTGCAAGATGCCAAAGGACCTGTGCCCCTCTGCTGCAGAGAGCTGCTGTTGTGTTCAGTCTGGGGCTTCTGATGCCTCCTGAAAACCTGGAAGGGCAGGCATGGCTGCACGTCTGAAGGATACTAACTTGTGTTTCTGAATAGATAGTTATTCTGATTGGCTTTCACTTGGGAATTGGATTGGTTCAGGTGCACTTCAGAATATGCCTGAGCGCACTTGCATATGTCCTCAAGTGTGAGAGAGGCCATTGCTTGAACAGATTGACTGGATGTAGGGTGAAGCCCACGTGGCCTGTCCAGGCATCTTGGGGGAGGAGGGCTGTTTTGCTTCTGCTGCGATGTCTTGTTGGCTGCTTGTGCCATGGGCAGGGGAGGTCTGGGGATTGGGGGATGGAGAGGGCATGAGGGGGCTGTGCAC